AGCGGAGCTAACCAGGAGCTGTCCCTGGCCTGTTGCAGATGTTGAAGGAACACAAGCCACGAGCCCATCCCGGCTTTGACACTCTCGCGCAGCAAGCGGTCTTGTGGCATGTCAGTAGCTCGTGGGAAAGGAGCGCAGGATGCCGGCATCTGCCAGCAAGGCAAGGGCCAGGTGCCACGCAAGGTCGGAGAAGAACGGAACTTCGGAACTCTGGTCGCGCTAGACTCTCTGGAGCTATAGATGCTGCACTGGTCGGGTTGTGGTAACACCACCAGGTCAACGCCCTCTTAACCCGGGGGGAGGCAAAGCAGCAGTCGGCAAGCACAGGATACAGCGCAGGGCCTAAGCCTCCCGGTTCATCCAGGGTGCCGCGACGTCCGATCGTCTCTCTAGCAAGAAAGCGCCAGTGCTGCCGGTGCAGGACGTAGTCTCTGGACAAACTTCCCTTCAGCAGGCAGAGCATGCGTCAGGACCCCGCCCTGCGACAAACCTTTGCTCCAGGCACACGCATGGGATGCCGCCACGAAGACGCTGCCAAACCAAAACCTGAGGGCTGCGAAAACAGTGTCATGTGCATTTTGCGGCGGGTAAACACAGGAGAAAGCGATTGCACAAATGCAGGCCCCAGTTCGCCAAGAATCCCCGAGGTCAAGAACGGAGCTAGCCATCCAGCAGGCCTTGACAAGGGCACCTCTTCTCGCACCTTTGAAACAAGGAGTGAGGCGGAGGAGCTGCGACAGGCGACTGCAAAGCTGGGCACAGGAGCCGAGGGGCCCGAAACGGCAGGATCCAAGCAGCCCACGACCGGCAACCCTCTCTGCAGGACGAACAGAACCTTTCGAAGCGAGTCCCAGCTCTCCAGCGTGGGACCAGCAAGTACAAATCCGAAAGCTGTTCTACTGAGTTGAGTCTGCGCCAGGCTCGGGCGAGCCCCACTTCAGGCTGGCATCGGGTGGGGCCGCGGCTCAGGCAGAGGCGGTGGCAAGCAGCATCTTCACCTGAGCTGAAGCCTCTTTGAGGTGGTGGCGTGCAACACGTCCAGACCTCTTCTTATAATCGAGACGCTTCAGATGCCTATCTCAACCGATCTCTCGTGCAGCGAAACCACGTCTTGTTGCAGGTCCATAGACTGTCGGCCGGCATCTGCCAGCAAGGCAAGGGGCACGTGCTACGCTATTTTTGACAAGAGCGGAACTGCGGAATTCTGGTCGCTCTAGAGCTGCAGATGCTGCAATGGTCGGCGGCTCGGCACGCAAAATGCGGCCGTGCAGTCTTGGAGGCGTGTGGCCAATACCACTGGGCCAACTCGCAACCTCAGCCGCCGAATGCATCAGGATTGCGCGCTGCGACAAGCTCTTGCTTCAGGCACACGTCATGGGAGGCCACATTGCCGCCACGTCGACCTACTTGGCGGGAGTCTGCCAGCAGCGAGGCAGGCGGCATGTGCCACGCAAGGCCCGACAAGAACGGAACTTCGAGACTTTGGTCGCTCTTATGGTGCAAACGCTGGCTCGGTCTGCAAAACGTGGACCGCTGGGCCAACTCCCAACCTCAGTTCTACTCGGCCGGAAGGAACTTGTAACTCGGGGGTAAGCAAATCAATCGTCTTGGGTGGCTTTGGAGGCTTCTTCAGTTCAGGCATCCTATTTCGAGGCAGCCACAACCGATGATAAGGCGAGCCGCTACCGAAGCTGACTCGTGTGACGAAGTTCTCCTGTCGTGAGCAAGAGTTGCATACAAGATGTCACTGTTGGCGTAGGGCCTAGGGCAATACGTGTGCGCTGCTTCAACACTGACACTACAGAAGTGGAATATTTCCAGGACTTGGCTGATCCCTGTTTCAGCTTCATGACACAAGCTGACTTTGTAAAGTGGGGATTGGAATGACATACAATCAAGAGACAGAGACCCGGTACCTGCCAGGCAGCAACTTGCGATCAAGAGAACTGATGAATAGTGATAGCAGAGACCACACAGCTGGGCTGGGGCGTGGGTGCAACTGGGACGGACGGCAGAGCAGTCAGTCCTTGCTGAACGCACTGCCTACCGCAGTTGCCATGCCGTTGCCGCAAAGTCTGCTCCCTACCATCACGGATCTAAAAGCACGATGAGCCCCCGACCACTCTGCTCAAGAAGAATATGACCACGTGACGGGAGGCAATGTGCTAACTCATGCCGGGTTGCTCTTCACCAACTACGAAACGCGACCCTGCTTCTGCTACTCTTGCAAACCTCCACTCCAAGATGTTGGTCAAGGAATGGCCACAAGCCAGACACTACGAGTTCTGCTAAAAATCTGTGGCTGAGCAGACTACCGAGCCAAAGAGGCGAAGGTCCTTCTCCGAGAACACAGGAAGCAAACGCAAAAGAGCTTGATTTTTATGCTATCTCGGGTCACCAGGTCTCTTCGCTCGTCCTCAACAGCACTAAGTCTTTGGCCCGTCGACACCACGAATGTACCGACCTTTAAGAATCGCCTGCCCCGACTAGTCCACAAAATGACTGAGAGGGTAGCGGGGAAGATCTGGACGAGAGACTGTAGGATGGAAAATGATGGAAATGATGAGGAGCAAAACAAATAAGCGAAAGACGCTTTTCAAGTGTCGGGCTTGTTTTGTTGCTTTCCCCAAGATCAAGGGAAGGTTTTTAGATGTGATGCAGCAGGGTGGTGAGGAAGCAGTGCTACAAACACTTGAGAAGCATGCTGATGTTAAGGCATGCTACTCCCGCTCCATCTGAATCTACGGCAGCTCTAAAGCCTGCTTTTTTCCTCCATTCCACACAACGAGTGCGGTGTCAGCATGTGTCAGCTCGCCAGGTCCCAGACTAAAACATGAGCGGTGCACAGCTTTGGATCGCCTCGACAGGCGATCTCCGCATGGACAGCACAAGCTGCCTCTTGAGATGGGCGATGCGGGGAGTTGCCTAGCAAAGACCCAAGCTGCGCTGCCTGATGCGGCGGCGAAGGACGGCCAGGCTGCGACGGTTGCGGTGGCGGAGGAGCCGAGATGAGAGCCACACCCATTGGGTACCATGCTACGGTGCTGCTACGGTGCATCGTGAGCGATGAGAACGCCGCGAGAGCGGGTAACCCCGGACCTTAGTGCCTTGAAAGCGTGTCGTACCGCCGAGAGGCAGAGGCCACCTGACAGGCTCTTACGGATCTGCAGGCGGCCGTTGCTGGCAAGTTGGCTTGTCTCTGCCAGATGCCTGTCACTGCATGACTGATGCCCCAAAAACGGAGACGGCTAGCAAGTCTGTGCTTCAGCCATCACCGTCGACTGACCGGGCAGGAGCACCACGCCATGTGGGAACCCTCGACATGCCGACAAGGCCGAGGGCGCAAAACTCATTTTGAGTCGCCATATGATTCAAAACCTTGCAATCGATCAAGTCGCAAGCCTCAGGCCAACAAATGCCGGATCTCTTATAGCCAGCAACCAGCAAGGAAAGGATGGACACCTTCAATTTTGTCGAAGCCGTGCCAACAAGGGATCCGTCACGAAGGCTTAGGGGCGTGGGCCGGTGTGGGGTCAAGAAACGCAGGCCCTGGCAGTGAAGTCAGCGAGAGGAGTAAGAGGTCGCAAGAGCGACGTCGGGAGAACTTCGAGCAGCCCTTGCTCCAAAAGGTGCCTCTCCGGGGCAGAGGTCCGCAAATTCACCGGCAAAAGCTTCCTTTGTTCGGCGGGAGACTGGCTGCATCTCGCTTGACGAGCACGGCTTGATGCACTGCAGCAGTGCCGAGCCAGGGCAGGCTGCGGAGCACAGGTCCCAGCATGCATGCGGGGCGACATCCCCTGCAAGCTGGCAGAGCGGCAAAGGTGCCAAAAAAAGCAACGCCCACGGGCTCTGCACTGCGCCAGAGTGGACATTTCGCTCAGTAAGTCTTCAATAGTCTCAAGGCCACGGCTTCGTCCACCTATCGACCATGCATGGCTGTAGCGATCCCGGAGCCTTGTGTCCGAACTGATGTGCTCACAGAAACGGCGCTGGGTGGGCAGTTGGACAGCCCGAGCGGTTGCGAATGGTCGACCCCTGCGGACATGCTCGCGGTGTTCAACCGAGTTTGGATGGCAGCTCCTCAGCCACGGGATATTGAACAATGACGAACGTGCCAAAAAGATGAAGTCCTGACACACCTCCGAGCTCGCAGGAACACCGAAATTAACCCCAGACGTGACCACAAATCCCACTTAGTGTGGCAACGCGTGCGGGTCTGCTGCACTTGCCCAGGTCTTCATGAGTCTTCATGCGCGTGAGCATGAATCCCAACGTGCAGATTGCCATCTAACTGCGTCTATCTGTGTATGTCCCCACACACCTTGGAACTTATAACACGGCTGTCAGCCCGAGACTTGGCTCCGCGTGGGTGCCAAAGCCAAGGGACACTCTGAGCACGGACCTCAACTCGATCTCCCTCCCTCTGCAGGATCGCACAAGGTTTATTTCTCTGGAGCACGCCAAACCCCCAGCTTTTGCTCATATAAAGATAAAGCTCTCAGCGCCCAAGGCCAAAGCCCGTGCTGAGCTAAAAGCGCCGCTTGAGAAAGTAGAACCTGTTGTTCCACATGTAAATATGCAAGCTACTTGTGGAGACCTTGTGGTACTGGTACCGAAGTCCAGTGCCGAATTCAGAACTATGTCCTAGAACGGGGGGGCAATTCAGGCTTCAGTGCCATATGTTAGCGAGGCGTTCCAAAGGACACGCCCGCTGTCTTGAGTAGCTGGAAACATGGCGGGTTCATGTAACAAAGCCCGCGCGGGAGCGCTCCATGTGCGGAAGATGCGGAACACAGATTCAGAGGTCAACAAGTGAGACGGGGACAGTTGCGGAATCCCGTTGAACTGGAAACGGCTGCATTTTCTCGCCCGGTTGGCCAACATATTGATGCTGCTTTCAACATGCACAATGCGCCAGCACAATTCCACCGCTCAAGCACATACCGCCGTGCCAACATCGCATGGCATGCAAAAAGATGACGGAAGCACAAGCGCCCGCTTCACCGTCGCAACAAGTTACGTTTTGTGCTGTTCGGATGTTCGTCTGAGACATTTCTAACACCGCCGGATTTGGACCAAAGGAATCTGCGAAGGCCAAGTGGTGGTGAATCCACGAGGGAGCAATCAGCGGCAGAGGCTGCAGAAGCCATCGACCCTGCAGAGCTCTGGACCCAAGCTGTCATCGCTGGAGGCCACAGCCGCTCGAACGGCAGGCAAACGCGAAACAGCAAACCAAGAAACTTCGGGAGAACTCCTGCCTGCCAAAGAAGTGCCTGGCATTGGAGATATGCTAGCGAATCTGCTAGTGTCGGGTTCCTCCTCGAGCTCCACTCCCTGCCGCCTCGTCTCTGCTGCCAGCTTGGTATGCCGTCTTCTCCTATCTCGACAGCACGCAGCTGCAGCATCCTCAGCGGTGGCTTGCGCGAATTGCTGCAACTGCTGTCTCCTGCTGCTACTGCTGGGCACCTTGAAGAAAGCTAAGACACTCCGGCAGACTCTCTTCTTCGCAAAAATACCTCTCAGCCCTTCAAATAGGTCGAGCGACTCCGTTCTGGCTTGGATTCAAGGGGCGGTCGGCACGGCTCAGCGTGGACGCTCTCGCAACTCGGACGATGCAGACGAGGTCTCAATGCCCTGTAGAACACTCTATCGAGCTTCAATTCCCATGAGCAGCGACTTTCTCGCTGAAGTTCGAATAAATCCTAACCCTGCAACAAACCCGCCAAAGCCACAACACTCTAAACGATGCGCAGTTTGGGGCTTAGGGCTTTTTCCGGGATCTGTGCCCAAAGGCGAGGTTTCGTCGGAGTTACTCAACTGATGAAGCAATGAGAGCTTAGGGTTCGAAGTTCGTGGTGCATGGACGGGCTGGCGGGCGGGCCTGGGGCGCGGGGGTGCCCGTCACCCTGTGATCTGGGCAGGAGCATGGGTCCAGGGGTCGATTGTACGAAGCTGCGGCACGAAAAATGCCGCCGAAGCGTGCAGGCGGGGCGAGCTTCCAACTGGCACCGGCACCCGCCCTTCGTACGCATAGCATCATGGACCGAAGTTGTGAAGCAAGGGTGCGAAAAGGAAGGGCCGGGCAATGCAGCGCGAGGAGGCAGGACATTCCCAGATGTCCAACTAAGATCCTATCCTGCTGCAAGCCCCAGCCTCATCTTCATGCGATTTCAGTTGCCTCTCAAATGCTGTTTGGAAGACATGCTGCACTACCTGGGTAATTACCCCAACTACTGTAAATACCAGCAGTTAGGGGACTTCTGGTGGTGGAAGATTGCATCCATCATCTGAACTTCAAGCAGGGAAGCAGCCGAGCAGAAAGATCTCGTGGCCAGGACGTTCTGGCAACGTCAGGCAAGTAATGTCTGGAAGGCCAACACACCCTTCTGATTTGTGCACCGGAACTTGCGCCTACGGGTAAGCATTTCGCATGCTGCTTAGATGACCGCAGGAGCCGCTATCCAAGACAGGCTGATATTAGTGGTGGAAATCGTGAAGGGAGGCACGGCGATGGGGGTTCCAAGCCGTGACAGAACCGACTGTGAAAGGCCCTCGCAAGGTCGCTGAGCGCAAAATCCCCATCTTGTTCTAGCAGTCTATCAAGTCAGGGTCCTTAATCATGCAGAATCCTGACCGCTTTAGTGACATATGTTCTTCATGAGCAACGACGGCAAACTTTCGACATTTTCCCGGCATCGTCGAGCCTCATCACAACGTGCACCGTCAAAAGTTCCTTCACCCTGAGCTCAAGCCGTCTGCGGGAATGCCGGAATCATCACAGTTCCGCCGGCGAGTCGGGCCACACAGATCCCCACATGATTGCAACGTGCCAACCCAGGCAAGTCAGATTGCATGTTGGAGTTGATTCGCATGCACATGTTCCGGCAGTTCAATCAGCTGCCGCGAAGCTTGCCGGACTGTGCACAGGAGGTCTTCTTCCGGGCTTGCAGCTCGGACAGTTGAGCCGAAATGGCCCGCGCGAGCATCGCGCAGCATTATGCATAATGGGAGAATCGCAACCCCACCTCACGAAATCAGGACCCAAACAAGCAAAATAGGTAATACAAGAAGGCGTATTTTGACAAGTCTTATGATCATCTGAACATAGATTCAATGTCACACTGCGATTTATACTGTCACTGTGCAGCTGGCTCTGAATCTGCTCCGCCTTTGTTACCAGTTGGGCTTCCGAACGGTGTATCCCACGCTCTTCTCAGGCTTCTGGTGAGCTGCCCGAAGTGCATCGAGTCGTGCCTGCGCAACGGCTTTTGCGCATGCTGTTTGTAGAAGACATTCGGACTCAAACGCCGAACAAACAATAAGCACCTTGGCTTGATGGAAGCGCCCAGCGTCGTTCACTTCTGGAGTGTTGCCAGGCCTTCGTGTCACGTAAATGTTAGCTCAAGATTGGCAATGTTTGTGCGATTCCCAGCTCTGTCATTCTCGACCGAAGGAGCACACCTGTTGTCATTGTTCCCCTTCTGCTGTAACTGTAAGGTTTCGCGCTCCTGCAGTTGCTGCTGCCAACACCCGCTCAGCGGCTCAGCCCCCGACACAGCCACCGGGACCGCACTGCCGCGTAATAGCCTCTCTCGCTCCTGAAGAGATCGCATCGATACCACTTGGTTGCCCGGTCTTATGGGAGTTGCAATCCCAGGCATATTGAGACTCCGATCTCTACCACCTCTGCAGTAAGCCTGGGATGACACAGTGGGGCTGATTGCTCAACGGCTCTTCCTGCACTACCATACTCCACCCTGAAAACAAACCGGACAGCTCTCAACGACGTCCCTGCCCACACTTCTGGTGTTCGAGCGGTGATCGTACTTTGCAACTTCCAGCCTCGGCAGCAGATCCCGTTCGAGGTAGGACCATGGGCACCTGGCCGCGGCTAGCATCTCTCACATCAGGACCGGAGAAGGCCAAAGGCATGCCAAGGCCTCTTAAACACCTTAAAGCAAAGGACGGGCAAGTGAAAACCAAGGGTTGCCTTTGGTGCCTCTTGCTCTTGCTCTTTGCTCGCCCTTGGATCGACAGACTCGACAAAGCACAGTCCTCATGCACGCTGGAGGAAGCCTCTGGCCTTTACAAGGGCAGGCACCCTGAAGAATCTACGCCCCAGGAAAGAGGGTGTCATCCCTCTCGCACGTTGAACCTCCAGGTGGAAAAAACCTTAGACCTTCGATGTATGAGAGCATCAGAACACTGAAGTCACGAAAGCTGGCGGACTGCGGACCGATCCCGAACGACTATATGCCCATACCAAACCCAAAGCCACCAAGCCCTGAGCTTATGATGCTCTGCTAGCGACTGCCATTTTCAGTCTAATAACCATTGATGCACTTTCTCAGGCTGCCGGGTGTCTTTTTGTCTTTCTTCTTGTCTTTTTTCTTCTTTTTGTCCTTGAAGATTTATTCACTCTGGAACGGCCACATGCTGCAAAGAGGCCGCAGATTCGCCAATCACACTTTGTGCAGGTACGCACCTTCTTCTTCTTTTCTTTATCCTTCTTCTTCTTCTCCTTCTTGGACTTTTTCTTGTCCTTGCTCTGGCATCAGGAAGGACAAGCCAACTCAAAGAAAGCTCTAAGCCCACGCGGCCTTCTTCTCCTCGGAGGAGTCGGAGTCCGAAGAGGAGCTTGAAGATCTGCTTCTCTTTCCCATAGCTAGAAGACAGAGGTCAAAGGTGTCAAGATCCTTTACGTACCAGCAAGTGAGAGAGTAAGGGTTTCATGGGCGGGGTCTGGCTAACTTCTTTGTCATGCAGGGAGGCATGTGCCAGGTGTCGCCGTGTTGACTGGTGATACAGGAGCATTGGCTTGCTCAGCCCAATGTCAATGACAGGCACCTCCTGGTAATCAATTACGTGCCTGTTACATGCCCGCACAGGGAGAATACTGGATCGATTCTAAGTCGTCGCAAGAAGTGAAGGCGTGTTCTTGTTTCGCCGAGGCTCTTCAGCGAGGGTTCAGCAGCATGCCGGAAACTAGCCACTGCTTCTGAGCAAACTGTCTCGCACAGACATCCCAATGCTCAGGCACTCTCTTTCAAGAGATGTGCAAGCCATTGGGGGGTGCTTGCAAGGCTCGAGCCCATCGGACACATATGATGTCAGCTTATGTCAGCTTTACCGAGGCCGAGGCTGTCTTGTGCCTGTCCGTTCCTCTGCTGATCGTTGTGCAGGTTTCGAGTTGCCTCTGCAGTGGCGATGTGCCCAAATGATAGCTCCACAAGCCATGCCGCACCGTGCACTGCAGCCGTACTGCCTGGCTCGCAGACCCCATCTCGGCAATAACTTAGCACGCTGACTCTCGCCACGGCTCATGGTCCATGGTGGGGTTTGCAGTCCACGCAAGCCGGCCGAGCTAAGAAAAACATCCTGGTGCTGTGACCGCTCAGGGAGAAGCGTAAGTCTTCGCTCCTAGCTGCCTCTGGCAGCATGCAGGCATGCTCCAAGGAAGGAAACTCAGCATCAGGGAAAGCTGGCTTGTCCCGTGCAGTCAGAAATAAGTTTTCATTCCAGCCGAGTTCCAACGAAGCTGGAAGATTCGGCATTAGGCCCGGCACTCAATGCACCGTGTTCCTGAAGGGATTCAACGTGTTACATCCTGTTGCTACCGGAAGCGCAGTTCATGAAGCAGCGAGCTTCTTTCATGCTGTGTTTCCATTGAAACTGTTATTCCATGTCAAATCCCCCAATGGTGCCCCGGCCAGTCGGCTTGTGCGCGACCTTGTGGTGCCAACTTTGGCCCAATGAAACAGCGGTACTGCGTTACTCTAAGGGATTGATTCGATGAATCAGGGGAGTTTTAAGTCCGTACCATCCATTCCTTGCGGCGGAGGGGCCAAGGATTGTGGCCGGGTTTGCTTCGCAATCTCCAGCTAGCTTCCGCAAACAAACGAGTCCTACCAGAACTGTCAACTTTCCGATTGCCTGATGTGTTTGCGGACCAACAGCCTCAGCAGGCAGCTGAATTTTTGAAATCATTCGTAGAGGATTCTGCAATCCCTGGCGGCGCGTTCAGCAGCATTTCACTGAACTCGCTCACTTTTCCCGACTCATAAATCCGCGTGCTGCGCCACTTTCTCGCAGCCTTTAGTCGCAGGAAGTTCTAGGCTTCGGCTTAGGAGGTGGCGCGTTAAACCTTAGGGCCTTAGGGTCCTTGTTGTCCGGACCCCGGAAACAGGGACCAAACAACTTACCCCGAATTTCAAGAAGCCCTCGCTTTGATTCATCAACTGTAACTGCTGGCCCAGCCGCTTCAGGAGGTAAAGTCTCCTCAGAGCAGGTCTTGCCAACGAAACTATCCTAGGCCCCTCGCGGGAAGTGACCTACACTTTGAACCTTGGACCTGAGGCATGCCGAGATTCCCAGCAGCTTCTGCAAGGATTCGAAGGAGACGCGCACGCGCCCTTCACCGCCTCAGCTTTCTCCGAGCTCAGCTTCCTGCAAAAGCGGATTTTGCCGGCTGCCAGGCACAGCCAAGCTGCTGATGTTGTCGAAGGCTTTCCGCGCTGCTTTCGCAGCCCGGAGGCGCTTGGACTCGCTCGAGGGGCAAACATCCTGCAGCCAGGGATTGAACTGCAAGCTGTCGTTGTGCGGCGCGTCAGCAGCTGAGTGCAGAAAACGCTTCACACAAGTGCTTCCGTGATGTGCCACGCTGGGGATCGATACATCTCGTGGAGAATCTGGAGCTGCACATGAACATTCGAGAAGAGCGACAGACAGAGAGAGGCAGTCAAGAAGGCATGACAGCGACAAGCCGAGCAGGAAATCGGGGCTCCTTAGAGCAGGGAGACACTGTGAATGATCCACAGCACGACAGGGCCCGACAGGGAGATGGATATTGACTCTCGCAACTCGCGCAAGACATCTAAGGCTCACCAGTTGCGTTAGGAACGCCCTACCCGCAAGGCTTCTGTGAAGAAGGGTCCTCGTCTGAGGAGTCTGGCACACGATCACTCTTCTGCTGAGTCACTGAATGCCTGTCTTTCCTTGCCGGGGCAGAGCAGCTCAGTCTCAGGCGTGGAGAAAACTGTACGTTGTACTGCTGACGACGATAGCACAACGTGCAATCCATCTTCTGACGCGCATGAACTTCGACGTAGCCTGAAATGAAACTCTGGCGAAGCACCTACTCCCGAAGATCCAAGGCGCTTTTCCAGCTGCTGCTGTGCATGCGACAGTCTGGATCCAGCTCTCTCCAGCAAGCGCTGCAACTCTGCGCGGCTTACGAAGCCATCGCCTGCATCGTCCAATGTCATCTGTGTCATCTTGGTGCTACTTGCGGGGGCTCCAGGGACAGGAAACACGTGCCAACTTTTCTGAGATTTCAATGCAAAAGTCTTGGCGATCAAAGAGTCCAAGGAGCCGTTCTCATCCAGCCTGTCACGCGTCCCGGCTAGCGGCTAGCATGATGACATGATGCTCGTGCCTGAGATGTGGCCAAAGGCCGCTAGGCCTATAAACCTTCATGTCTGTAAAAGGAAGGGCACGGATTCCGCCTGTCGAAGCTGCTTCGAAGCAGTTTGGCCTCGGGATGCGATGCCAAGAAACGTGGGCACGACTTGATCACGCCGAATGCGCACGTCCAAGGAGTCCCAAGGGGCTGTGAGAAGCTCTCGGCACGACGGAACCAACGCGGCCACGAAGCCTGGCATATCCGGCCGCTGGGCTCCTCCTCTTCTTCCTCCTACTGTTCCTACGCTCCGTTTCTATTTCTCACAACGGCGAGTGCTTTTGCACCTGCTCAATCCAACAACTGGCATGAACTGGTGGTGATAGCTCATGATAGTCCACTTGTACCTAGCAGCCTGGGCGCTGTAATTGAGTGGTGGTAAATTAAAACTAGGGGGTGAGCCTGTCGTGCTATCTGCTCTGATTTGATTGCTATCGACTCACACTCAACGACAGCTGGTCGCACGCTGTAACGCACCCCTGGTGCAAAGGTCACCTTCTTGAAACCCTGCAGAGCATGGGAAGCAAACACACCTCTGGCCCCGCTTGGAAGAGATGAACATGGACTGGACTTCTTTCCACTCCAAAGCAATCATTGATATTCAGGTAAAGCCCGAGAGGCGGGAGAATTCCACAGAGCCACCGCCATCATCCAAGAGCCGAACGGCGGCTTGACGTGCGGGCTCGGGCTCCAACCCTGCCTCAGGACAAAATGAACGAGACTTCTCGTCAATACCCAACAACTAACACTGTAAGTTTGCTTGAATGTTGCTTGTGATGCCGGTTTTTCTTCATTGAATTGAAGCATTCGACAGGATTGGCTGGTTGCTGGTTGCCCGGCTTCACATCGTTCCACGGCCCGAGCCTTCCCAAGTTTGGAGGACACTCAATGCCGCGCAGTGTTCCCGTTCTGCGACGGCATGATACTGCACGCTGTGGCCGGCACCCCAAAACGTTCACAGCACTGTGGCATGAGCACAATGAAACACATGCGCACGGCGATGTGGCGGGAGCACGATGTGCACCCCAGAACTGCGTGGCACTTTGACGGAGCACGATTCAACGACAACGAGGCGTACCTCCCCAGCGATTGCGGCCAGCGCACGAATGTGGAAATAGGATAGAATGGCGATGCTGTTCGAACATGCGCATCGCGGGAGCTTCGGAATCGCCACACGAGCCGTGCGCTTCACAAGGGAAGCAACAAAAATCTCTACAGTCTGAGTGTGAGACCTTCATTTACAAGTGTTGGGCAATGTGCACACACAAACAGGTTCTCACATGTGCTCATACACAGCCATACACCCTTTATGGGAAATTGTCGGCTGACAACATGGCGGTACTATGTATAACTTGACTATCCTGCACGATTGGGCGAGTTCTGATCCAAAAGTTTTGGGCTTCGACATGTAAGCTATCCGTCTATCCATCGATGTAGGACATGAACCCATCACCCAGGCTAAGATGCGATGGATGATTCCCGATTCGGACGCTGTTCGTGAGCCCCGGAGTGAACACGCCTTCATGAGCGCTTCGGTGAGCTCTCCCCGATCCAGCATTCCATTTCCGTCCTGCTCACTGAGCTGCCGCACAGCTGGAAAGTTGTGGCCCCTGGTACCTATTTGCGGATCCCACTACCTGCAACGTAGGCACAAACAAGTCGATTGGGGCCAGCGTGCTTTCAAGTCCTTATCCATGGACTCGAAGAGCTGTGTCAGCTCCCGCAGCTGTGCAAGCGGCAGCTGCGATGCCATGTCCAGCAGCACCGCCTGTCATCAAGTATGGCCCCGCGCGTCTTGTGAGTGAAGGGCGGGTGCATTCTTCAAGTTCTCTGCAAGCTCCTCGCCTGCGCCAGCGCATTGGTCCGGTGAAACTGAAGCAAACCTCAAATCACAACTCCCATGACAAGCATGCAGCATACGAGTAGGTTTTCTCTCACCGCTGCCAGTCACGAATTCACTTCCTGCTGCGGCCATCGCGCGCACATTCAGCGTTCCTAGACACCGAAGGCGATTATCTGCGATGTGCAAAGCCAGGACCTGGACTTCGCACCCCTCCATCGCAGCCTAGCCGCTATCCACTTGGCCGGCTCCTAGCAAAGTCATATTGCAACTCTGCCCTCTCACGATCCACATGGAAGCTCTTGCCCCACACAGAAGACTCTGCCGCCCATCCCCTCTCCGAAAAGTCCTACGATGCGACACCA